AGTGGGGCTTATCGGTGGGCCTAAAAAAATATTTGAAAAATAGAGGAGGACGCGAGAAGGAGGGCCGACAACAATGGGCGAGGCGAGGACCGCTCCGGCGTGGGGCAGTAACTTTCGGAACGACATGAAACAAAATTGTAAGCCCCGCTCGACCCACGCTCCGGGGTCAGCGAGATGGTCAACATCGGCACATTACACGCGGAGAGAAATCGTAAATATGTACAGAGGCCGACATAATTGCGGGGCCCTCTCCAGAGTACAAGGAAACGCAGGTTTAACGGGGACCTAATGGAACCTACGGTGTGTCGCACCTGCCCCGGGCCGGGGTGTCTATGAGAAAAGCAAATTTAAGGAGCGGCGGAATATCCCCCAAGAGTCGAACTCGTCCCCGAAAAAGGGCCCTCATCGTGGGAGCGGTCCTTTCCCGGATCTTTGCCGGCATCGGGAAACTTCTCGTTAAACAACATCTCTGGGGAATGCATTAGCGCCCCCACAAAAAGTACAAGGTACATCTCGAGGAGGATGTTTAACAAACACTCCGAAAATTCGCTGCATCACCTCGCCGAGCGTTTCGGCAAACAGAGTCGCCTGGAGTGGTTCCAAAAAAGCGTGGCTAAAGGAAAAAAGAAAGGGGGGCGTATAAAAGCGAGAGATAGAAAAGCGCTGGGCGAGGGTGGAATATTTCGCCGGGAGCGCGGCGCCACCCACCGCCCACCCACCGCCCACTGCACCCTGGGTCAAGCCGCGGAAAAGCTGGACAAATTGCAATTCCGATCGCTCGGTATCGGAGTAATCATTTTTTCGTCGTCCGCTTTCATTACGGCAGTGCGACCGGGGTGGCAAATTTCTGCGTCGACTTTGCAAAGGAGGCCAGCGCTGCATCTCGCGACAAAGGGGTCCGATTAAACGGAGCGGCTCCCTTTGGGTATTCGGACTTGTCGGAAGACACGGTTCGGTAAAAATCCTTCACTAACACGCTAGTCGAGTAATATTTGCACTCCAATACCACCTCGACTTTCCCGTTCCGACTTTCCATGCCGAGGTTAAACGACGCTTTCGGCCATTGGCAAACTTTCCGGTACCTCCTCCGGCCTGTTTCCCCCAGGAACGACGATTGTCTCGTAATTAGGCACATTAGGGACTTCCTCGGCGGCCCCGACATCCAACGCCGACAGTATTAGCCTTAATCGAAGGGATTCCGGAAAAAGAACTCGGCATTCGAAACCTGCTTCCCCACCGCGGGCATAAAAAGCTAACTGGGCGGTAAACGCGAGAAATCGAGGAAAAAGTGGAACCCTTAAACTAGAAAAAATCACCCTCTACCGACATTAAAAAGTACACCAAAAAAAGGTAAGAAAAGACGAACACGTTTAAAAATTTCCTTACTTACGAGAATTATCAAAATTGACGATCACTTCATATCGTTGGTGGAGTTCGTTGCCCTGCTTCGGTAAACAGATCTTGATAATCGGAGCCCTGTTATCTGCAGGAATATTGATTCACCGGTCCTGATAACTGCTATCGAATGCACACAGCCGTCGATGATAAGAACTATCCGTCTCGAAGTGACGTTTCCTGTCGAAAAGAAGCGTTATTAAGGAGTGCCTTAAGCGGACGAAATATTACGTAGGGAAAAAAATGGCGGCCAAAAGGGGGATTATCCCGAAAGTTAATTCGCGGCACGATTCGCGCTCTTCAGGGTCGAGGGGCTTAACGATAACTCGGGCGTGCCTCGCACGCTCTTCGTGACGCCCGGAAGTGAGGAGAACGCCATCTTAGAAGGGTATCGCGCCATCAAACGGAATTAATGGGGTGGCCTGAAAAGATCCGAGCTCGGTCCACCGGCGATCCTATCGAGGGGCCTCGGGGATCTCTTCAGGGTCCCCGTCCCCCGCGAGTCCTGGACGTGAGGCGAATACGCGGACGCTTTTTACACGCGCAAATCCGCAAAAAGGGGCAAAAGAACGAGCGACCGGCCGCGGGAACGAGCGGCACTCGTTAAAACGCACCGGCCGCCATCTTTCGCGTTTTTCATTTTTTCCAACCGGGCCGCGTTTGACTTTTACTCCCGCGGGGCACCTCGGACACAATATTGCGGATTGTCAATTATATTTAGCGGCGAGCCGGACTCCTCTCGGCGGGCATTAAATTAAATTGGGGAGCTCGTTTGTCGAATTTCGGGGGATTAATGTCCCACGGGGTCCCCGTCGAGGTGATCTTAACGAGCGTCTTCGGGATCTCTTCGGGGCGTCTTCAGGGCCTCGACTCCCCTCGAGGCATCTCTCGTGCGTGACGAGCATATGCGTGCTCTTATACGTGCTCCTATGCGTGCCTTCCTCGTCATATTCGGAGATCGAACGGCCGACCTACATTCGTTAAATTGCGCACGCATTCGTTAAGCCGACAAGTGGCCGGTCCGCACCGCCATTTTCTCCATCCATCTTTTTACCGAGCAAGGTCGATTTCCCGTCCAAGGCTCCCCGACGTTTCTACCGGTAATCGAATCCCGCCCGAGGTTAAAGGACGGAGATCTCGCGATGCTATCCGCCAGAAATACTCGACGAACGGCTCGTATCAATAATTCGTTGAGTCTTTACTTCCGTTTAATCGGGAGTTTCACGAGGCGAGCGTGTTCGCTTAAGCCCATCGATTCCGCGGTCAAGATGGCCGATTATCTCCAGCCCGATCGGGTAATTAACTTTCAGCAGGGCCGGCAACTTGTTGGCGAATACCGATTCTGGATTGCGGCGATAATTATCGGGTATCGGGTTAAAATTATCGGATTTCCTTTCAGCGAAAGGCCCCCTCGTGAAAAATCAACTCGAGGAGCTTTTTCCCCAGTCCCTGCGCTATCGGCATCGCTACCAGTAACCGATAACCTGGGCCGAATTTTCGCCCTCGATTTTTCACCGTCTATTCCCTTAGCCGGCGACACGTTCCCTTTAAAACGGTTTGCGCAACACGTAACCGATCCCGATCTGGACATTTCTCGCGTTAGCGAGAACGGGTATCGTGTAACTCCTCGGTTATGCGGTCAAGATGGCCGATTACCGGCCGATTCGATCGGGTAATTGACTTTTAGTAGAGCCGCACCACTAACCGAGTTGAGCGCGAGATATAGCGTGGTCGGCGTAATTCAATTGGGCCACGATAATCGTACACGTCATAGTTCGTTACGTTACTTGTTTGCAGCGGCAATTTTGGCCAGCAATGTAATTATCATTATACGAACAAAATGCAACTCCCTTATGCGCCGAGGTCACGGGACTTCGAAATTCCTCGACCGGACCCTCACGTCCCGGTAGAAATAATCGACGCAGACGCGATGACTCGTCGTCATGACAAATCTCGTGATAAATCATTCCCGAAATATGTATCTACACAGGAAAAAAAAATATATATACATATATACCCACCGAACCCGAGAAATATTTCTTGGAATAGTACCGATGAAATATTTATATAAATTCAAAGAGTCATCACTTAACTGAAATAAAATCGAGTCTTTGAATTAGGAACATATATATGTATATTCGGCACCGTTCGAAGAAATATTTCATCGGTCCGACTGATTTTTTTTTTTTTACCCGGTGTATAATTTCTTTCCCGTAATTACGAGTATCTGGGACATATCCTTCGGTCATTCCGCGATCGGGGGAATTTCGATTTAGCAACCGGTAAGCAGGATATTCCGCGTCAGCCCGAGGCCGTAAAACCGCAACGGGGAGGTGAAACCCTGCCGGAAATGACGAGGCCTCGATAAGTCCCTCGTCGTGCAAAAGAGACGGTCCTTCTCCTAGAGCTAATCCTGACCAATCGGAGGGGCCGTAAATCGGGCCGAGTCGGAGCGAGAAGCTGCCGAGTGGCGCGATCAACGTCCGCCAGATAACGATCGGTGTGTCATGGGATTACCGGAGTAACGAATCGCTCTCCTCGCTCGGAGGGTCCAAAAAGAAACGGCGACGCGGGTTTCTTCCCCCGACGTGCACGTCGTACTTTCCAACGGCCTCCGGGCGCAGGTGGACCGCATACTTAACGTCCTTTCGTAAGCCGACCTTCGTCGCTTCACGAATTCCAGCGGTCTCCTTTCGAGGAACCCTCGTTCCCCCGAGTCGGCATCTCCCCATACGACCGGCCAATCGACGATAGCTCATCGCTACGATAACGAAATAATCTTCCCTAAGCGCGGTTCCTCGTTCTCTATTTTCTCCACCTCGGATACATCCACTCCCTTGGTTTCAGCAGAGTCCTCCGTGCGAGGCCGTCCGCGTTTAAGAGGGCGCCAGCTAGCGGTGCATAGCGGTGTATCCGCCCAGCTTCCGAATGCACACAATGCGCCCCTCCCTGGCGCGCGGCCACTGCACTTTTCCCGAAGGGCAGCCTCGCGCCTTGCCGGCTTCCGTCTCTCTCCCGGCCGCGCTCCGGCGCTCGGTCGGCGCTCGTCTGGTAGCCGGAGGCAAAGTGGTAACGTCGAAGGTAACGTCAGCCGCCGACAGTAGCATGCGGGCGGAGTGGTGGGGGGAGTGCCGGCGGCGGCGGAGCGGAGTGGGGGGTGCCCGCGCGGTGGGGGAAGCCGAGCGCTGGCGAGGAGGCGCGGCGGCCGGAGCAACAGTGTGCCGCGCGCCACCGTAGAGTGCGCGTCGTTCCTTCAATCGAGTATTTCCGCGCCAAAACGGAGCCCGGTGGTTCGACTCTAACCTCCTCGCGACATGAATCGCGACCTTCTCCTCAGTGGACGGTGATGCTGCCGGGCCCGGTCGGGGCCTCCTCGGGTGCACGAGTGCGTGAGTGTGGTGCGAGCCGGGAGTCCGCACAAGTGCGGCTGATTTCACCCCGAAAGTGATATATACCCCTGTAAGGTGAACTCACCCTGGTCTTGGTAAACCCGACCTCGGAACGAGTTCCCCGGTTCGAGTGCCTTTCTCCGCTTCGGTAACGAGACGCATCTCCAGGGCGTCGGGAACGAATGACTCGGAAGCTCCGACGAGGTCGACCGCTCTGAGAGGGTGGATACCTCCGAGAGGCGGACGTACCTTCGCGGTGGTTCAGAAATGCGCTCGTAGCGAACCGACAACCTGTCGCCCGAATTTCTGAGGTACGTATTTAGATTGTTTTCGGGTACCTAGGGGTAGGGAAAGGGACTTCTTTGTGCGGGGGAGCGATCGTTATTCCCACCGCCGCGGATACCGCACACTTAACTCGGAAAGGGACTTCTGGATCCGTGCGCAAAGTAGGGTCTTCTGATCCTTTGCGTCGGAGACAGAGTCCCGTATCCGATTTCGCTCCCGAGCGAATCCTCCTTGCCTTGACTCGGATCCAAGAGGAGCCCGGGGAGGGGGCCGACTCTGGAATAAAAGGCGGTATCTCCGATAAATCCTAAAAGGGATGTGGGGTGCAGACTTCGGGGACGTTGCCGTTCGAGTGCTTTATCTGCAGCGCCGAGCCCGGTGGGGCGAAATCCCGATTCCGAGCCGCGCGAGGCCCTCGATACCAATCCCTGAACCCCGAATTACCCAATCGCTGGCAAAAGCCATTCCACATTGTCGGGGACCTCCGTTTCGCCGAAAACCGCTTTCTCCGACTCTGGGTCTCCGTGTCCGGGAAAATGAACCGTGCGGGAACGTTTGGAAATTTTTTTATCACCGCTCCATTGCCCCAGCCAGTTTCTTCGGGGACCCTCTGGGTTGCTCGCGGATCCCGAATCTCTTACAAGCGCCAGAATTTTTGGGAATTTTCGAGAATGTAAAAAAATTTTTCATGAATTTTTAGCAGCGCTCAATTTTACTGGCCAATCTCTGAAATCTCTCCTAGTTGCTCTCAGACCTCGTTTATCGCGCAGTCATGCAGGAAAGGGACTCGGGAAAAAATCAGGTTGGAAGAGGCTGCAGAATTTATATGAATTTTTTTTAACTGCGATCAATTGCATCGGTCTTCGTCCGGTGCAATTGATCTTCGCCGCATCTTCCTCCGCTGCTCACGGGTCCAAATTGTCGCACTATTGTACAGGCGTCGGAATTTCGTGGAAAGTTTTTTTAACAGCGATTAATCGTACTAATCAAGGTCTAAGTATGTCGTGCTTCTGTACGGCAGATCCGCGAAAAAATCAGACTGGAAGAGGGTGCCGGATTCTTATGAATTTTTGTTGTTTTTTTAATTGCGATCAATTGCACGTGCCGATTTTCTTCCTCCGCTCGACAGATCCCGATCGTCTCGCTGTTTTACAGAGGGAGGACCGGGGGAACGTTCGCCGCAATAAAAGGCGGCGCCGCCGATAAATCCGTAAAGGGGGTGTACGGAGCGGGTTTCTGGGACGTTTGCTCCGTTTTCCTGGCTGCACCCCGGGACCCGGCAGGGATGAAACTCGAATTAATCTTTCGGGGACCTCGATGGCTGCTAGAGGGGCATGTTCCCGACAGTTATTACGAAGTTATGGGACCGGAAGATGGCGCGGCACTCTTCGGCTGCCCGAAGGAATCCAAATGGCGTCCCCGCGCTCGCCGCTCTTCGCCGGGACGTCCCGGGCTCGACCACGTGGAAGGGAGCCCCTGGGACTCGTGGGACTTTCAAAGGAAACCCGATCGCTCCTTTCTAGGGGCTCTCGCGACACCCCCGAGGCGCTGCATTAAGCCGACGAAGGACTTTTCCGTTTGGTCCTGGCCTCCCCTCGCAGGACGACGTCGGGGAGCCGAAGACCTCCTTGCAGAGTCCCAACGCGTGCCCTCCGGCCACCGGACTCGCCCGGCATCGAGTTACCCCTCTTATGGATTTCGTTCCTCCGTGGACTGCCGAAATTCTGACTCCGACTGCAGGCGGGGATTCTTTTTTTTTTTTTTCTGCCTCTGAGAAATGACGGAACTGACGAATCTAGGATAGAGTCGCCTGGTCCTTCGAACGACACTCGAAGAAGGGGACATACTGATCGTAGTCCCACGAAAATTTCCATAGATTTTGTCCCATTGACAAATTAAACACCACGTCGACTTTAAAATTCGTCATTTATATGGCGGCGATCATGTCGTTGAGATTATCACTTTGGGATCGCACGAACGATCATGTCGCCGATGTAGTAGTTAGACATTCTATTTCCTGCTTACTAACAATTACATAATTCCTGTGATAAGGTTCTTCCACGAAGGACGAAATATATTAATTTCGCGGTTTAAGTGCCATTCACTTTTCAATTCCACACTCACGTTGCTTCCCGATGGGATGCATGTATAATGAGGTTTTTCAAAGAAAGCGCAGGGAAGAACACAAGTTTAACTTCGAGTGTACTCGTTTTCGAGGTGGTTTGGCCAAGGCTCGCCGAGAGTCCGTCATCGGGGAGCTTTCTTCGCGGATCTCGACGGGGACGGTTCGCAAATAAAGGTGGTAATAACTTCCGAGGGAGCATGTCGGAGTCCGGTCCAGCTGCGGCGAGAGCGAATTCTGGGACGGGGACGGGAACTTGGAAGTTCGCTCCTACAACCGAGTTCAGAAGTTGGCCCCGGAGTTGTCTCTGTCTACAAAACGGCGGCGTTGTCTCGAAGAGATCGGGGACTCCTCTCCTTGACCGGGGCGAAAATCTCGCCAGTCTCGGGCGCACCTTCCTTTGGGCCGAAGCTCCCGGGGGCTCTCCCTCGTCTCCTACGGCCGGGGTCGCCCTGCCTCCCTTCTCGGCCTAGGTCGCTCTCGTAAATCCCCCTTAAAGGCTATTGGAGTTTACGCGCCGGACGGGGCCGTTACCTCGCGACTTGTCCGTAAACCACCAAGACTCGGAAGAGGTACGCGAAACGCGTGCGTCCGAGACTTTTCCGTGGCCCACTCTCTCTCTTTCTCTCTCTTTCTTGGCCGTGGGAAGGTGAAAGTGCTCTGTCCACCTCGAAGAAAGTTTGCAGATTACCGGAAAATCGCTCGACAAGGAGAGACGTTGGGTATAACTCGTTCATCCTTCAGTATTTTCCATAAGTCCACCCTTGCTGGGTCGATTATGCGTTCCCCTGTAGTAGCGTTTACCTGAGCTCGGTATTTACAGGGTGATCTCTTCCCTCACCTGATGCTTTTATTTGAGTCCCGTTATTGGCTGATACTGTTGGGCTTTAATTAATTAATTAATTAATTAATAATATTGATTGTGAAGTCTGACGCAACTCGACCACGAGGGAGAACCCGAAGGGAGGGCAGGAGGAAAATATCGACGGAAGAGAAGATTTATCTGAAAACCCGCAAACTAGAAAAGGGGATCGCTAAATGCGTGCGTGCTGGACTTTTTCGTGATGCTCCCTTTTGGTTCACCCTCTTGTTGGTCGGGAAAAGGTGGCGGTGTTCAGGCTACCTCGAACAAAGGTTGCGGGCTACCGGAAAAGCTCTCGCTAAATCTGGCGCGACTCGACCTCGAAGAAGGGCCCGAAGAGGATCAAGACAAAAATATCGACAGATTGGGCCAAAAAAAGACTTATGGGAAAATCCGCAAACTAAAAAAAGGGGGCGCAAAATGCGTGCGTGTTGGACTTTTTCGCGATGCTCCCTTTTGGTCGTTTTCTTGTTGGTCGGAAAAAGGTGGAGGTGTTCAGGCTACCTCGAACAAGGGTTGCGAGCAACTGGAGAAGCTCTCGCCAGGTCTGGCGCGATTCGGCCTCGAAGAAGAACCCGATGGGAGGCCGTAGAAAAATAACGACGGATAGACCCGGGAATGGGGAATTTACTGCGCGGCGGCCGCCTCGAAACTGAAATACAGCCGACACTTTCGCGAGGATCCCCGCGGGTCTCGAATCGTTAAACGCGGGGATTATCGCGCGTGTGGGCGACGCGGGGATTTTTCATCGATGTTATATCGAACCGCGGCCGACGCCCTCGAAGAGAGTCCTCCTCCCGGCACCCACGCCTTTGTCGTGTCGCAATAAGGCCGGAGTCGTTCCCGACGAGATTAGATACGACCGCCATAAGGCGGCCATTAAATCGCGATCGATCGACACCGCGATTCCCCGATTCGCCGGAATTTACGGACGCTCGTATTTCCTCGAACCCCCCCGCGGTAGCTGCCTCCGGAATCACCGGTCCTTATGACCTAGCCGCCGCTTTTGAAAACACGCCCTTCCGAGCCCCGGTCCCTTTGTCCCGTCACGGTCTATCCGCGCGGTGCAATAACTATCAAGTGTTTTTACGCCGAGGGATGTAACGAGGCCGGAAGGAGATGGGATTTTCATTTTTTTCAAGCCAACGCCCCCCTCCCCCTGAGTGGCTCGATCGAACCCAGGGAGGGATTCGAGGAGGCCGTAAAAAGAGATAGATCGAGAAAGAGGTGGGTGAGTCTCCCCGAGAAGGGGGATTCGACTCCGGGCGAAAGGGGTGGAACTGGACCGCGACTCCTGGAGACGTTACCGGAGATCACCCTCTGGGGAACGTTGGCCGACGCAGAGGTTATTTCTGGGCCCCGAGAACTTTTAATAGCTTTCCGATGGCTCATTGGCCGCCCTGGCCGCAATGTTGCCCGCCTTGTAAATAATTTTTCGTCTTTCGCCGGGGAGTTTTCTAGTCTTCTTTTTCCTTCTATCTTTTGCTCTTTGGCGCTCCTTTTCCCTCCTTTCATCTCCGAGTCGAGACATTCGCCGGGACTCCGGCTTCGGTATCGAGCTGGACCGTCGTAACTCGAATCGAGAGCCACCCTCTCGAAGGGCGACGAAAATCTTTATTTACCGACCCTTAGGGAGGAACGGCCGTCCCATTGCCAAGTTATTTCGGAATATATCCGACTAGGTTACGGGATTCATCCCCTGCAGCCATCCCGGATCAGCCCTTCGCCGGCCACCCTTCTGACGACCTACTGGCCCCATTTTTAGCCGACCCTTGGACATCAAAATTCGATTTTTGCTCGCGGTTCATCCCCCTATCAAGATTCTTCTCAATTTAGAACCTCCCTCGTTTGGTAAAGAAATCCGCGAAATTATTAATAGAACTTAAGCTGATGGGAAAGTGGCGTCAGAGAGGCCTCGTTTATGAAACTTTTCTCTGAACTGGGTGTATCGAATCGTTTCAAACCTTACAATGTTAATATTAAGGCTACACGGAAGATCCTGACACCCATGAAATGTGAATTCTTTTAAAATTTCTTTCATA